ATATATATATATATATATATATATATATATATATATATATATATATATATATATATGTATATATATATATACATATACATATATATATATATATATTTATTTATTTACAAAATCAGCATTTGAATTAGTTTAACTTCCAATTATCTAAAAAATAAAATTAAGGCATGCTAAAGCGAATTAATATACTATAGCAACTCTCTTAACTAAGCACGTGAACTAAAATAATCATTTGTCAAATGTTGAATATTATTAATGCAATAGAAAGAAAATAAAGGACCTCTCTAGCTATATAACGTAACGTTTTGAGTAAAGTGAGAACAATATTGATAATTCTTCTTTTTAATTTTTTCGAAGAAAATATTATTGCATTAAACAATGGGAAAACAAGAAAATTAAGTACAATATTATGAATTAAAGAGGTTGTTGATGTTGTAGTAGACTAGTTGGACATGAAGAAACCTCATTTGCATCATCATTGTTAATGCTCAAAGAAGAAGAACAAGAGGAAGCTGCAGCTCTACTATCACTCAAATTATCTTCCCTCATAAAATCATAATACACTACATCATTATGCTCATCATTAGCCTTGTAATTATCATCATGACAATTAGCCTCAATAATTTCTTCATCACATTTTCCATTTCTTTTCTTCAAAAATATATGACAAAGAACCCAATTTCCTATTTGAACCAATGAATTATTCTGCAAAATACAAAATAGATAATTTAGAATTTAACATTTGTCAACAACTAGCTAGAGTCTAGAGAGACATTTTTAATTTATCAAGGGGTGTCATGATCCATGCATTTTGAATAAATTAATGAATTTAAACATTTATTTTGGACATGAAATAAATTACTCCCACTTGAGTCTCACACTCAAACTATTTTTAACAGTCAAATTGTGACAATACAATACACCAAGACTCTATGCATGCCACTAATATATATGATAGTACTCTCTTTAGTGTGAAAACAAGTGTTTAACTGAATACAAAATTTAAGAATGAAAAGATTTTTTCAAAAAAAATTTGTGTCAACATAATAGTTGTATATGTTCTCATACAAATTAAAAAAGTTTATTTTCTTTTTGACTGACTTAACTAGAAAAAAGCGTCAAACGAATTGGAACATGAGAGAAAAATAGGGCATTAAATACCTGTTGAGATGATGATTTGTTGAAATGGACATGTAAATTGGATGATGAATTTTTGGGAAGAACGAGACGATATTCATGCATAATCCAATCAGTTCTATAAGCTTGAGAAGCACTCTTTCCTTTATAGAAAACAAGAGTTTTCTTCATCCCAACAATTGGCTTTCTTTTACTGCATATAATTTGTTTATCTAAACCACTTGGCTTCCAATAACCACCTATAGTTGCCCTATTTGCTCTATTACCATTCCTATATTTAGCTTCCTTGTTGCTGAAAAAATATCTATCTTGCTCTACATCACCTGTTTTAATAATATAAAAAATTCTTTAGTACAAAAGCAAATTAATTTGCATGCATACAACAAAAAGTGAAGTAGGAAAGAGTTAGAGGGGTGTAAGTCAATTACCAGGCAAATTCCAGGGGTCGTTCTTGCAAATATTGATTTCAGGTATAATAGAAGCAGGCAAGGGACAAGAAAATGTTTTACGTATCAAATATTGAAAAACAATTTCTTCATCAGTAGGTTGAAATCGAAAACCAGGAGGTAGCTTTATCGCTCCATCTTTCACAAAATTGAACTTGTCCATTAGATCAAATTACTCGATTCGATAAACACAAGCTTTATTTATTTAAGAGAGAATCGCAAC